TAAAGTACATCGTATATTCTGGTATGTGGGTCGAAGAATGCTTATGAGTCGGTACATGTTGGGTTTGGAGCGTAATTTACCCTGCGGAAGATCCAGTCGATAGACTAAACAACAAGAAATTGAAGAATGCGGACAAAAAAGGAAGAAACTCCATTCGCGGGCGCATATAAGGTACAATTGCATTCCCGCCACTCCATGCATAAGCAGTAGTACATTCGATCACGAAAGTATGTATTCTTCTGAATGATGTTGACACTGTAGTCATCTCATAGCGTAACACCACGTCTTTACGACCTCTTAAATGCAAGGGCGGGAGACGTATCATCGATTGATGTCTAGAGGGGCAACGAGCTACTTTGTAGTAATCGACTCGCTACACAGTGTTTCGAATGTTTTAGTATTCTTGAAAAAAGAATACAACAACTTCCTAAAGGAAACTTTTGTTACGTCAGACATTCTTTATTGATGTATGCGGCAGCATCTTACGCATATCGAATGATATACAGCACAACAAATATTTAGGTTTTGGTTTGTTAATCCGCTGAAGGCACGCGTCTCATTGAATATGCGCTTAATTAAAGTCACGTATGGTAATGTAAAGACTTCTTCATTTCTTAAAAATGCGATTTTATTGATAATACGCAAAAATCAAGAATAGCGTATCTGATACAATACATAACTACAATATATATATTACATATTCGAACAGGGATGGAGAGAATCAGAACCGATATTTTGCAAGAAACGTAGGTGGACCGCGTAAAAGCGAGCCCAATTAGTACAAAACATGAATGCATGTATACATCAACAAAAGGGGAGCAAACTCGTCATTTAAGACGCCTAGAGTACGTCGCATGCCTTTCGCCTATTCGAGCGAGCAAGGCTGGACAGCATAGGCCAATCATTTACAACATGGTGTGCTGAAAAGCGCATACATCGTGCAGCACTTCAGTTCTATTTGTTTCATTGGTTATCCAGCAACCAGCTAATCGCTCCTACTACAACGTACGATCGATTTTACACCAATTTTGTACCGCATGAAGAACATGAACAACAATTTAAGCTGTTTGTGAGCCGCCTAAAGATCGATCATAGCACTTATCTCAAGCTCCAGCCTCGACCTAAAAATAAAAGGAAACGATAGCCTCAACTAAATTGATAGTGATATTCCTTTCACAGTCTGAAGCGGTTTTCGAACAATATGCCAGCCAACAAGGTATGATACCCATATTGTTCTTCGCACAGACTTGACAGATGGGCAATATATATTTTTGAGACCGTTTCAAATACCGATTAAGATATTTTTGTGGGTTTTTTGCAATAATTTTGAAGTATGCATTGTATTGCAGCACGAGAGACCTAAATCGCGATCGCATTTATATAATGCATACATGATGTTCTTTTTGCGCCTCCACACTCCTTGGGGTCATGGTCGATCGACATGCATCAGCATTTCTATCTTAAATTAAGATCACGTTGCAGCAAATATCACTAGATCGATAAGGTCTTCATGCACGTGTATTTCTGAATACACGTGCGTATTACAGACATTTATAAGTTTTGCTTTATGCTTCCAAGATTACAAAGTAAAACAATGTAAAACGACTTGCAAAAAAATGAGCTCGTAATCCCAAGGATAGCTAGACAAAACTTTATTTTTCAAAATTACTATTATACATCCGAAAACGAGTCAGAATAATAATTAGCTTAGCTTCACATCAAGAAAATCGTTGTAGTCTATAAATAGATTGTCTTATGATCCTCATGTTATTTCAATGCATATGACGAAATGAACGCTTTTGAGTTACGTGAAGATAAAAGTGACGCAGAGTATCGTACATCATGCGGAAACAGCGTAAATAAAAAAATGGATTGAATCTATATCAAGCATTAATTAGTCCTTATGTTGTTAAGGTATGTCAGACATACGCGCATTGGTACAACAGTCATGTTACCTATCGATATATTACGACGTAACGAGAAAATGTACGCTTATACTGATGAGATCAATTATTATGGGACCTTCGTCATCGAAAGTTTTGATTCGCAATAGTCGTTCTAAATAAGTTTTACAAATGTAGAACGTAAGTAGTTCTTCTGTTTGTTTAATAGATACTAGGCCCGTATCTACTTCTGCTTTTTTGCCCAAAACCTTTTATTGCTGGAAAGTATCATAACGAAATATAGCGGTGCAATCTCTGTCATCTGAATCACAAGGGCTGTGTGCGAGCACATAGCATTCTTGTATGCGGACGTGAAATGGCCGGACCTGAGGATACGAAAATGAAAGTCAAGATTTATTAGGGTGTGTATCCACAAAATATATTCTATCGGGGCAATTTAAAAGTGCCACACATTGACCATCTTCCGCATCTTACATCTTGCGGCAGGACGTCGAACAAATCTACAACTCTTGCCTTACATACATAGTCCATGCGAGTCAGCTGTTTGCTATTGAACTTCTCGAATGCGTGCCATACCTTTCGTAGATATATAAAAATAAGGGTGTCGCAGCTTCAGACATAGGAACTGATAAGACGGCTTGCTTGCAAAAGATGACGCATCCATAACGCACAAAGGAGAGCACGCTTGTGTAAGTGCTTGTATGACCCATCCATAATTAGATGGATGATACCTGCAACATATATGAGCACGAAGTTCAGGGAAATCATTGCTGACTGAGTAAACTTGCATTTAATAAGGTATGCTACACAGTCTAGCCGTTCGGTCTGGATTTTGTTGATCGCAAGATGTAAGTTGTGGCGGTTTGTCTTTCACAAGATGCACTATGTAATTCTTGCAATTTATCGTATGCACTTAGTCGTACATCTCTGATAGATTGCGTCCAGTAAGTTTTGATAAGCGGCGCTAAGCATCAGTCACAATTCATTGCAGTAATCTTGACGCTGCTTGAACCTCAGACGATGCCTGCTACATACACCCCCCCGCACATACATACATACATACATACATACATACATACATACATACATACATACATACATACATACATACATACATACATACATACATACATACATACATACATACATACATACATACATACATACATACATACATACATACATACATACATACATACATACATACATACATACATACATACATACATACATACATACATACATACATACATACATACATACATACATACATACATACATACATACATACATACATACATACATACATACATACATACATACATACATACATACATACATACATACATACATACAATGAAGAGACGAATATCGGATTGAGTGCCGCAACGGTTCCAACGGTATTGCTACCCGCTCATCAGTGTTTCGTAAAAAAGTCACGACACTTGTAGCTTCTCATGCGTCGACTGCTTCCGATCCGATTCCCTACGATGTATGTCTGGCTACAAACGTCTAAATGATGCAAGTCTTACGTATCGTTGAGCAAGAATATTGATTACGAGTCTGCAAAGAAAATAGTGCGCGCTGTAGACATTGAGAGTCATTTGAAGTACGTTCGTTGCAAGATTCTGCTGATAGCTATCAATCACATGCAAATTGCTTGATTGTGTTCACAACATTATCATCACACACAGGCGATGCATCTGACACTTCTTGGTCAAGGTTAAGCCCGTGAAGCACGGAGCCATCACGCTGATGGTCCCGATTACATAACGGCGTGGATAAATGTGTGCATGATAGTCGTGAAACGGCCCTATCTTGTCGTCGGATAGCAGAATAAGTCCAGATTTTATCTCTTGCGTAAGCTATCTGATATTTGTCGCGCTTTGTTACGCTATGCTGTGAATCTTTGTATCAAAATGCCTCATTTGCTTACGACTCTTTAGGTGTCGTATGATTTGCATGCGGCAAGAAATTTTAAGTGCATGCTGTTTCATGTTCCTTTGTTGGTGCAGTTCTCCACGAGCTACTGTGCATGATATGTTCACCACGTGGTGAGCCATTGTTTTACCTTCCTTTTAGACCCATAGCAGAAAACCTTGGTGCTATGCGTTCAATAAAATGCACGGTCGGGCAATTATACATTTGATTGCGATGTTCAACGCTGTATTGCAGGTAGAGTAGAATGATCTTGATAGCACTTTGGTCTTGTTGGACACTGTTTCGGCGAACACGCTCTATAAGCGCATTCCGAAAACATGGAGGCGGTGAAATATTGATATGCGGTTCGTTTCGGCTACTTTGCCATCACAGCATCGTTTGCGAATTCACAATCGTGATCCTCATGTAACATACAAGTGTGTTGTGTAGTACCAATCGATCATCAGCTCTTGTCTCACTCTCTCGAGGTATGTTATTTTTACGGTAAAGTTTTTGGTGATTGGCTGCTTCGTTTATTTCGGCACAACTTACAGAGCAAGCCGCAAAACGTAGCAACAGATCGATCGATCTGTATGTATGGCAATATTAGCATGCTTAACGACCTATAAGTACAACTTACAACAGAATGTGCCGTATAATCAGACCTCGCAAGCGGAAAGTGGATCGAGAACTTGATCACACGTTGTGTTTGGTTTCGTTTGCTCGATAGCATGAGAAAGGCAAGACGCAAGGCATACCCTGGTCAACCATAACGTCTGCGTACTGACTCTATACTTTGCGACCACAATCTTTGAATGCTTCCAGATATCGAGCATCTTCTTCGCACAAAAGGATAGGATCTTCATGCTCATTCGACATGTTTAAATTACGTATTTCCCTGGTCAATTCTTGATACAGGCGCTTGACGCGAGCTTCTTCTGCATACGATCGATACATCACGAACTCTTGTAAACTCATGAGGTACTCAACACAAGTCGCACACTCAGCACATGATTCTCGTCGATACTTATCATGCCATTATATTATTACATTAACTTGCAGTTTTTCCAGTGACTCTTTACTATCGTGAGTCTTTCGTCACACCAGTCGAAACGAGACGAAGGGCCTCATACACTCTCAGCTGACTTGCAACATCCTCTCGCTTCCTCTTTGATCCTACAATTCCGTTCTCTCGCGTTGCGACGAACATTGTCCGCACGACCCCATCTCTTCACGCACCTCCACATAATCATCCGCACTCTCCCCATCGGTCGTCTCCGTGGTATATGCACTCTTTACTTGGACCAGCCCGCCTTCACACGTGCGCAACGGCGTCCTTGGTTGACCATTACCACAGCTCTGTCCCTCTGCATCAATGAGACTTTGGTTCAGCGATTTCCATCCAGTCAACGAAAGCTGCAGTCTCGCTCGTCGTGGTCTTTGCCTGTGGCCTCGATGAGCAACTGCATGGAGGAAAAGCACAAAAAACACAAATTGCCCGTCAGTCAATGATCACATCGAAGGAGCGAAGAGTCCAAGGACGTAGATTCGTCACCAGTCGTCCATCCAAGTACCCATCCATCCGTCTCCTACTTACCAAACCGTTCGCTACCTCGGCATTTCAACAGCCGACGCACGCCCCACGTTACAAACAATAGCAGCAGTACTAGAGCGAGACCTGCAACAATCGAGATTGCCACGCGCAGTGGCATGGACAATGCCGTTTCTTCGTTCAGTGAGAACGGCACCTGACGGATGTCACGAGTACCGCCTGCACACTGGGACTCGACCACAACGTCGTGCCAATTGGGTGCCTCACAATTGGCAATGCACACGCAGCCATTGTGCCCCGTACAAAAGAACGGGAACTGGGCATCCGGGTTACTCAAATGCCTCGGATCCAGCTGCTTCCAGTGCTTGCGACACGTGACACAGACGGCGTCACTCACGTGGCAGTAGCGATAGTCACTCGAGGAAAAGTAGCGCTGCAAAGGCGCGTAGTAGAACCGGTCGGCCAGGTACGCGTCGTATGTGCTTTGGCTGACGCAGGCGCCATTGGGATTGACCGTGCAGACGTCATTTGGTAGCTGCACGTTGAGACAGTCAGCACACGAGCGTGGCTTTCGGCACTCGCTGTGGTGGTCCCATGTGCACGAGGCACGTGGGGTGGACGCATGTGGCTGGTCGGTGCTGTTGCTATTGTTGTTGTTGTTGTTGTTGTTATTGTTGTTGTTGTTGCTATTGCTATTGATACTAACGGTAGGAGCAGGAGGTGAAGGAGTTGCGACCATAAATCCGCAGCGGTGTGGTACGAAGCGCTCGAATTCAGAAATGAACGCCTGCGATGCAACTGTCAGGACGAGGAGCAGATAGTACGGAAAGAGCGAGCGCTGTCGACGGAAAGGCTCAGCGATTTGGAGTGATCTGAGGGGGACCTCGGCCGCTGCGTGTGTGTAATGGTCATACAAACGTCGAGATGCCGAGTGGTAGTAATCACCGGTGCATTGATTGGGGTGAGATCAGACACGACGTGGCCAAACAGAAAGGGACTATCTCGTCGTGCAGAAACGAGGGGGCAAAATACGATCGAGCGCTGTGCTCGAATAGCGTTAGGGCTTTGAGGACCGCGGGCCGTATGCGGTATCTCGTTTGCAGTGGCTCGTTCTCTGTATGACCTTATTCGGCAGATACGGTCAGCTCTGGTGTGTCGACGTAAGGCCCTGCTTCATTCAGCGGTCCACCTTTTCACGCTTGGCTAGACCATTGCTATACCTCCAGACGGCAAAAGTCCTACATTTAGTAGCTGATTAATAAAGGGGGAGCCGGTTCGTGACTTTCGCATTGATTCGATGTCGATGCGAAATTTTACCTTGCGGATCATCTTGAGCAGCTGCACCTTTTGTAGGTGTACACGGAGAGCTGATCACGCTTGACGGTTACACTCGCTTGCAGTTGGCAGCAGCTTGTGCCGCTCATGGTACAGAAGGACCCCTCTTAGCTAATACAATTGAAATGATAAGAAAGAATAAGTAGTAGAAGATATTAGGTAGAAGGAATTGGGTAGCCACGTGATCGACAACCAATTGTAAAGGATCCAGGAGTGCATGGTTCCCCCGTTGGTCCGAAACGTTTTATTATCTATAAAGGGTTATTAGCTAGCAGGGAATTAGCTAAGAACGGTTCTACTCCATCAGCCTACAAAGGCGCCGACAAAGAAGAGACACACGATACGGATGATGAGAGCAGTCAGGATGCATTCACGTGGCTGGAAAAGGTCGAGTCCGGAGAAGACGTGATCGGTAATAAAGCACTGATGACACTAGCTCAGCCCCCTTTATCCTTCCGGCTAACTAGCTTTTAGCTGAGTGCAACTCCTCTCTGCCCGATAAGTGTACGTGATGTCACAGGCGCGCGTGTTGACACCGTGCTGTGTATATAGCTAACGGTGATCCGTATACGTAAAACTTGCCGAAGAGTGTACGTGATGTAAGAGGCGCACGTGTTGAGACGGTGGCAGTTTACAGTGATCGGTGTACCACGTCGCAGTCTAGATAGCTTAGGGTGATTCAAATAAGTGCACCAAGTGGCAGTGTAGATGGATTGACAGTGTTCAGTGTTAGCGGGACGTGCCTCGCTACGTCTGAAGCTGTGACACATGAACCCGTCGTGTGACTGTCTGCTACAATGATGTGCAGGCTGCGGTCGGCTGCGCAGAAGCTTTGTCAGTACTAAAGGATTGCCACTTGGACAAGATCGTTATACTGGTAATATATGCTCGCCTGGTGGTCAACACCATTTCATGAAGAAAAACGGGATCGTTGAATCGGCTACTGATCTCGAAGCCTTTGTGCCAACACGTCTAGGGGACATTGCAGATATATCTCCTCTATACGCTGGTTACACCGGTACTGCAAAGTCGAAGACCGATGAATAATGAAGGTAAAAGGTACGCTTCGTCCGAAAAGCATAAATGCACTAAGCTCGAGGCTGGGACGCCTCCATAATACAAACACCCATGTACGATAACGAGCGCTCAGGTTGTCAGACCGGCACATATAATACATCTTTTCTGCGTGATGTCTAAGGCTAGGCTTCACTACGTCGTTTTCCGACTTGATGTGTACCAATGCTGGAACGTAAATCGATCCTCTCTTTCCATATAATGCTTACAAATAGCAGTTTCTTTGCCTCGTTGTTGCTATCGCTAGGTCATCTTAGACTATGTAATAATAGGGGCTTTTGCGATCACCCTCATTAAATGCTCATTGGTGCTCGAGCCAACCGTTGACCGGATACAAGGTGCGGTTGTCGCCCCACGCGGATCCTGCGTCGTGTAACGAGCGCATGTAATATGCCATGAGTTCCGAGCATGACGATTGGTTAGAAATACACTGCAAAGTTTTTCCGACATATTTGAAGAGGATACGCATTTAATGGATCTCGACTATCCTACCCAAGTTGACATCCTATTGAACATTAAAGTCTGTCACGATTGAACTATGCAAGTTGCCTTCTTTTATTATGGTCAACAGTATCTCGAAAAATGATGGTGGTACCCTCTATTCGGACAACTACGGTGGTACCATCACTAGCAGTCGCAATTTCTAGCTATCGGTGAGAAAGTCTTTGTTCGATTGAGAATAAAAAGACCTATATTCAATATCACAACCTTGTAATTAAAATTCAATGAGTAATCATCATTTATACAATGTTGCTGAAACATTTTTTTTTGCTTCAGCTTTTATTTTATCGTACTATATATAGCTTGTATTGTGCTGATAATATCACTTTTTTGGAAGAAATACGGATTGAGGCAATACAACCTAATAATAACATATATAATATAACTTGATAAAAACAAATTGATCAAGCTAAGGCATAATTATATGAGATATAAGATACCAATATTTGCGGGTGCGGCTACTCTATATTTGTCAACTGCTCATAAAATTATACTAGTATTGATATCGTGATTTATCTCGTTATTGTTATCGGCAGGATAATTATGAACTAATTGAGTCTTGCGGCTTTGCCAACCTATTTATTTTATTTGTCACATATTTGCCTCATCCGTTCTTCTTCGTGTTCCATTTTGCAATCTACTGTATGATGCGTGCCATTATACAGCTTCTCCATCGATGCATATAAACGTCGTTAAATGTTCTCCGCTCGTTTTTGCCACGCATTTATGTATTAAACTAAGTCGATCGGTCGTCTCTATGGTCGCTGTTCTCTACATGCTGGTAGTTCTATATATAATTTACTCATTCTGAACAATCGGTACACTTCTGCTGCATCTGAAGAACGAGCTCTCTGCCATAATTTTTCCGCGCTTCGGCTGCATCTCCTTATATGTGGATCGCGAAGATGCCCTCTTACGTTATATTTTTCAAAACATGTCGATATTATTTACAGCAAACGTAGTGGAGGATCACAGTAAATTATAAAAACTGAGGTAATTAGCTCCATTATATATTGACTAGCAACATTTCCTCACGAATAAGTAAATCATGGAACCATTTTTTCACGAACGTTCGGGCTTCACCATCTGATACTTTTGCCACATTTAAAGGCTTGTTTTGTCGTCCAAAAACTCACGAGCGTGGTAGCATTCCGTTTTATCGCTGAGGTTCATCGACCGTAGCAAGGATTGTGTGATTCTCGCAAGTTGCTTCAAGCTACGGCGACAAGGAATGGACGTTTTTGGTCTATCACAGTCGGCAGCACTTATTCGTAACGATTTGAAGCAGTATGTCAGTCGTAACATTTACGTATTGCAATTGTAGGTGAAGGGGCAGAACTAGCCGTCACGATCGTATCGTAGCTGGAAGATAAAGTCTGTATGAACACGAAAGAAGACTTTACACTCCCTCCTGCTGTACATGATCCTACTCAATGGCACGCAAAGCTGGATCGACCGTATCTTTTTCATTCGTGTGCAATGCTTCTCACAAGTGGAGATTGACGGTCAGCGGCAAAATCGATCGTGAACATCTTTCAAACAGTTCGTCCCGCACATTCTATTGCTGAACAATGAGATGCCGGCTGAACAGCTAGCTACACAAAAGTGAACGCGACAAGTCGGTGCGTTCATTTGATCTGTTTACATAGGACGTTACGCTCCTATTCACTTACTTGTGCCAACTAGGTACTCGACTACACAGAGAGCCTCACCGCTCACCTTTCAGACAGACCGCGTCAGTGGTCAACATCTCAGAGCTTATCGTGCACACAACAATGACGAAGTGCTTGCACAGTTTTAGGGCGCGGATAAGCTGTTCATGGCAATAGTGGCTTGAAACAAATTACACAAACTCGATTGTAGCACATTTGATCATCTGATTGTCATTTGCATCATGAAAATGAACATTTACATGCTCAAAACTTTCGGGGCTCGTACTCGCGGTACTCAAACACTTCTTACAGACCAATCGCACAGTAGCAGCTATCATATAGCATGCCTTCTCTCGCGAAGAAGACCGCTACTTGATTGGTCTTTTTGCATGCACACAAAAGCACCCACAATTGTTGTAATTTACCATGTTCGTGTGGACTGTAAACGTGTCCTCCTGACCGGCATTTGTTTGATCTGACAGTTCGTAAAGCCTTTTTGACCATGAGCTTTGATGTGTTTACAACAGCCGCAAGCCGTTTGTAACGTGATGTCGCCCTTTATATAAGATACTGCTTTGATCTTCGAGCAGACCCGTAGCCAACCACCACGACAACTACACCGAGGCCATCGCAGTCTTGGCAAATGACGTGCCAGCTCCAAAAATGCATTGAGTCTCTTATTAATCGATCAAACATGAGCTTGACGCTAAGTCTACGTCTGTTCTGGACCAACGACGTAGTCGATCCAAATGATGCAGCACATCCCTATTGTTTTTTGGCTTCGAGAAGGAAGGGGCAGTTTAGTCATTTCCATATTCGGTTGCAATATGTCTGGTAAATCCTGAGCCTGGTAAGCAACGCCACTTCCTCTTGTAACTTCGGTGGTTGTACGAAGCTTGTCCCCCCTGACGTGACGGCTGTCGGACTTTTTATCGTGTTTGCTCTGGCAAACGAGCAAGCGTGCACCTTGAATTTACGTGGCGGAACGTCAAACTTCCCGCTTATCAACTGCGCTAATTTGTCGCATGCCCGTTCTTAGAATTCCTGGATGTCGCCGGCGATCGTGGCGCTTTCTTGTAAAAGCGTAATTCTTTGTTATTGATACAAACAGGTAATGCAAACACCGCTCAGCATTCGCCTCATTCTCTTCCAAATGGCGGCGTATTCATTGAGTCCGCCGGTGTTCGTCGTCGAAAAGCCAAGCTGACAACCGCGGAACTGCTAGTCTTCTCTGTGTCAATCAGACAGCGCGAGAATTCTAGATTTGACACCGCGCGGGTGGACGCTCAGCCGCTGTGCTGAGACAGTGGTAGTGAAGGGTGCGTTGTCATTGACGCTCTGCGATATCAAAGGGCGATCATTGCACCCAGTCGTGAACATTCCCTAAATTTCGCGGTCAAGCTCGATCCGTACAAGCCTTTGCTCCTCGGCACGGGTAACCCATCCCTTTTCAGCAGAAACCCTCCCTTGCGGGGGCCGAAGTGGGTAGAACTTACCTCGGCCATGCTTCCCGTGCGGCCTCAGGCCGCGCGGACACTTGACACAAGGAGGTTTTACGACTGTCGGTGTCCCGTCTCCGTGCACTGCTCTGGCACACGCACACGTTAGTTCAACGAATCGCGCGAGCTGTCAATATGGGTGTAATCGCACGACACGTGTCATCGATCCGATGTACGCGCACTTCCGATAAACGGTCGTCTGAGTGGCCGCAAAGATACAAACAAAAGTACACGTCTGTCACGAGGCTACAGCGGTATAACTGGACAATAGAGAGAGCGTCACTGACGGTGGCCAGTTCCGTACAATCACCAGGCACTATGAGCACTGGCGTTGCCATCCACGATTTGGTTCTGTAATACATCGTACAAATTATGGTTGTTCAATAGATATGTGTGCATCTCTCTCTCTCCTTGCATCGAGCCGAGAATGTTCACCGAGCCGTGGTTAAACGTTCCTCGAGTTTGCCTGATCAGTGAATGATAATTTCATAGCTGCAGTTTCAAGACGCTCATACAGGTTTATTGCTTTGGACCATGTCAATATTAAAGCCAGCGTATGAGACAGACAATAGACCACATGGGCCATTTCAATACAAACTACGATGTGATCTCAGACTGCTGAGGAGATGGAAAGGAGTTCCGACGCGACATTCTCTCAGTGGTTGCAAGACCTACGACACTTTTGTCAGACGAAAGCTCCGGCAGATTCGTACAAGTCAATCGGGCCATGCTGTTCTTTTCACGAATGCCGATGCTATCAATATGTGAGAGCGCATATTCTTATAAGTCTTGAAGTTGACTCTATTACTGTGCTTATCAAGCGACTTCCTGTCTCTACTAAACAATGTACACTCGACTTGTTCCGGATGCACTCCAGCTTCAATCAGTGCAACCAGTGCGAGACGTGCGTTTGATAGACCGACATGACCGGACAAAGTCCCAGCCATTTCTCGCACATCCGGGTCATGACATCGTAGATCAAACGCTACAGACCACATAACAAACAAGTTTCGTCGCGTCTTGTTTCCATGCGGTGGTGATTACTGAGCGCGATGCTTCGGGAGGCATGAGGTTTCGTACGGCGTTGTTCATGTCTTCAATCTCGTCGCCGTCCCCGAAAATCTTTGGTCTTACTCAAATTAAATCAGTTCGAACTATTGCACGCACCACTCTTTGATAACATTGACTCGTTCTTGTCATGATAGTAACTGAGTGCTGTCGGTTCTTAGCCTCGAACGTCGCAGCCTGCAGATTCATGAGGTACATCACAACTGCGACGTGCTGACCTTGTTTCTTTTTGTTGCACAATGTCTCTGTCAGACTGACTGTGAGCAACAAGGCGCCTACGACATCATCTCGAGCATCTCTGTATCTTACGAATACAATCGCTCGCAGTGTGACTACATGGAACAAAAGAGCAGGCGAGCTTTAACACTCGTCCCCAACTCCATACTAGTAGCAGGAGTGTTGTTCGTCAGGATACGGTACACGCATCAGTCATTTGGTATGAAGGCCCACTTCGAATCTTCTATCAGACAACGCAGTCTTGTTTTCCCTTTGACAGATGCGCAAAGCACGTCTGGTAGTCCAGCCTTTCCAAGTTGCTGGATATGCTGCGATGCGAAGTTGTTCATTTGTACTAGTGTAGTGGGTGTGACTTGGCGTCTACTGCAAAGTTGCTAGAAACGCAGAGTCTAGGTCCAAGTGTGTCTTAGCCGGCAGGGGTTGGCTGCTCACATAATGTCCAAGTTTTAGCCATCACCACAGTGATCTCGACAATGTCAATACCCGTTTCTCGTTGGGTGCGCAAGCGAGAAATTTGTCGCAATGTTCGACACTTTCGGGTCAATTATGATAGAGCTCTCTAGGCCACGAAGCTTCCATCACGTGTACGCCAATGTAGCACCGCAGCAAATTCGCACATGCAATCAGCAAGTGCTGTCCAGATGAGAGCGCCGACCGTTGTTGGCGAGCAGCAATCACGACTTGGCAAGACCCCTGCAGACAAGCTCTTATTCCATCTCCACTACGCATGCGCCATGATCCCCGTGCTTTCTAGCGAGCATTGATGAAGTTGCCACTCAAGGACATGGACTCCACACAACAAAGCTCTTCTGCACAATGTAGCGATACATAAGTCGAGCCAGAACAGTAACATCCACTGAAGCTCGAATCGCCTCAACTTTCTTGCATTTCGCGAATGTATATGCCATTTGAGTTTGCCCTCTGTCGCCATGCTTTGCGACCGAAAACTGCGTGCTGACATGACACGCTTGCGAGGCTTCTTCAGGCGATGCGAGAAGTTATAAGCCCCCTCATTGATCGACTCTGCCGCGCCGCTTGTGAGCTATCTTAGTCGTCGACAAAGCTGTGTCTACTGCAATACGTAGCGCTGTACTACACCCGCGCAAAGCGGTGTCATACTCGTGTATCTGGTCGTCCAAAAGCCTCATGCTTGTCGGATTGTGACTTGAGGCCAGCACTTGACTCGTATCCCTTGTCGATTGTCGAAAAACCTCTCACCACCTTTAAGCAATGCTTGCAGCGTGGATATGAAGCGTAAGTCCGATCGCAAGTAAGCATCCGCAACAAATATGCAAGAGTCGGCTGGCGTAAGGTAACACGGCAGCCAATAAAGTCCAAAACCGACGAATCGGGTCTTGCTTTCGTCAGTAAAGACATAGCCATGTTCAGTCATGCTCTGGACAAGAAGCCCAAAGTTACAAGACCCAGCCATTGATCCAGAGCATCACAACGTCACATATCGTAATAATTTGGTCAGCAATTGCAGACCTTGCAGTAAAACTCTGGTTCATCTCGAAAGCTATTCCATGCGTCCAAAGGTCCCAAGTAGATCGTCTTCGAACGCGAGTTTTCCATGCGTCATCGTTATGTGCACCAGGTAGACCATATTTTTCTTCCAACAAACACTCTCTTGAGTTCATGTCCATCCAGACGTCTCCTGCTCGTTTCGGCCAAATGGCAGTCGTCACACTCGACGCTTTCCATTTGCATCACAATACGAGCGATGGACTTGCTGCAACAGGTCAAGTTGAAGACGGAACGCGTAACAACGAGCACTGTGGATGAAACGCAAAGCTGCCATTACCAAATGCTTGTCGTGCGAGCGTGGTCAGCCAACACTACCAGTAGTTTATCTCCTCGTCTCAAGCACCCTCTAAGCTCGAGGGACCGAACCCGATCGAGGTGCTCTTGTCAAGAACGGCGAGCGCAAGAGCGAGCCATCTTCAATCTGGTCCCATTGACGGCGTCGTGATGACGGCGTCATCAGTTGTTGCGCTGCAGGCGACCGCACCACTGGGGCAAGACTACCGGGCGTCGTCCCTCCTTCTGCTATGGCAAACTGCAGCGACTCTCGCTCGACGCCCGTGTCGCTGTCACTCGTAAGCTCCATGTTCTTCACTGCTCGTTCAGCCATCTTTGCCCAATTGACGCGTGACAGCACAAACGCAAAGATCGAGAGCTTGACTAGCTCCATCAAGCACACGCCATACCACAAGGCCGAGAAGCCGAGGCCCATAGTGACTCCACCAAAGTACGCTATCGGGAGCTCAATGCACCACACACTCATGGCACTCACCCACGCTGTCACCGAGACTTCGCCCATGCCTGCTAGCACGGCCGAAATGAGGATCTCCACTGACTCAATCATGTAGCCCGTGATGAAAATCGGCTGCACGAGCATACAGAGCTGCAGCAACCTGTCATCGTTCGTGTACAACCGGAAGAGCGTTTTCCGCAGAGCAAACGTGACAACAGCGAGCACGACGACACAGCCAATTGTGCAGAGAAAGCCAAAGAAGCCCAGCAATCGCGCAGCCTTTGGCCGTCCCGCCCCGAGGTAATTCGCCACGCGGATCTGCGTGGCCGAGCCAAAGCCCCAAAAGAGCGCCCACAGGAGCGACCAGAGGCCAGAGATCACGGCGTTTGCTGCAATGACTTCCGAGCCAAGTTTCGCTGCCACGAGCGTGAGCGCCGAATTGGCCAAGCTCGAGACTAAGCTATTGGCAGCCACAGGGCCCGCAATGTTGACGAAAATCACGACGCGGTCGCGGGTGAACGCCTTCAAGTCCCATCCTCCCCACGCTTGCAAGTGCATCTTCTTGTACCCAAAGCAGTAGGAAATGAGCGCCAGCGGTTGGAACCACGCAGCAATCACAGTGGCCATCGCAGAGCCGTCAAAGCCCAGACCGGACCAGCCAAAGGCCCCAAAAATCAGAATGTAATTGGCAGCACAGGCGACCCCAATGGACAGCGTGCCGACGACCGTGACGGGCGACATGATGCCCATGGACTGGAAGTAGAGGCGCACGCAGGCGTAGACGAGCGAGGGCCAGATCCCGAGCGACAGGATCCGCGCAAAGCGCACGCCGAGATGGACGACGTGGGCGTCTTGGGTCGACAGCTCGAGCAAGTAGCCAATGCACCAGTACCAGAGCATGACGGGGATCGACAAGAGCGAGACGACAACGAGGCCGAGTTGCAGCCACGTGCCTGCCAGCTCACCGTTCTGGGCGCCCCACGCTTGACCACAGAGCGTAACGAGCGCTGTGGCACCGGACCAGACGCCGGCCAACGGGACGTTTGTCCACGTGGACGACAGCGACGCAGCGGCCAGCGACGACGTGCCCAAGTGGCCGAGGAAGGCGCTGTCGACCGAAATGAGCGCAATGCGGGCAAAGGTCGAGAGCGACACTTGCAGCGCCATCCACGTGAGGCTCCAGAACTCGGCGACGACGTCCACGTCGGCTTCAGTGGACGACGGCAACAACGGCGTCGCGGGGCCGCGTTTGGCCGCTCTGGGCAAGAGTGGGGTCGAGGCGTCCATCACGAGCGGAGGGAGTCGGCTTCCGACGATATCCGCTTGACAAACGACGATATCTGATGGACGGGCGACGATATCTGATGGAGAAACAAAGAGATATCTGGTTGGTTGACCCTCTCCGATTGTCTGGTTGGTTGGTTGACTGTCTATCTGTATGGGACTGTCTGTCTGTATGGGACTGTCTGTGGGGGGAGTGGGTGGGGATGACGAGGTAAATGTCGATCTGAGGCGTCGGATCGGCGTCGTTTTCAGCGTGGCATTGTCGCGTTTGTAAGGCCCGTCGTGGCAACATAAACAGAGCAAAGACGGGAGCAGTGGGTGGCTGTGGGCAGATCGGTTGATCGATGAATGGATCAAGGAGGAGCGGATGGGAATCATTGAGTTGTGTGGTTGTTTTTGCTCTGTTGAGGCGGTTCGCTGGACGGACTGCATGTCGAGTTGGACAACGTCCTGTAAGTGAGTGGTATGCCATGCAAACGTTTTGGGGTGGTGTGTGGAGACCGTTATGGACGCGGTATGGTTCCTAAGCGCCTAGTTGCAGGCAAAAGTGCCAGCGCCGTCGGCAAAGGAGACTGCGATCCAGTGAGGAGCGAAGCAGGACCGAGTGGCCAAAAGGCCGTGGGGTTGTCGCGTCTTTCTCTCGGATCCAGGGGACCCGAAGAACATCAGGCGCGCGGTACGTGCAGGTGTTGATTGCGTCATTGCAGATCACGGGGGAGAAGAGGGCAATGGCCGTAGCACAAAGGAACGCAGACGCAGATGTGACCGGACGTGCAGCCGTAGTCGATCCAGACGCTAGGGACGGTTTCGAGCGACGTTGTTGATGGAACGACGATGCAAAAAAGTGGCAAACACTCGGATGCTGCTCTTGCTGTAGAATCTGCTCGACTGCCACAAACGTACAATCGAAGACGATCCACTTGTTTCTGCATCGTTTCGCTGCCTTCTTGTGAACGAGTTCATTGGCGATAGAGCGCTCCTGTCACTTGGCGACGAACGGGTCAGAGCCAGTGGCAGTCCAGAGAGATTCCGATACTTTTCTGCGACAGAAAAGAGCTCGCGTTTCGTTTGCCTCCAGTTGTCATTGCAATCGAGATAGGAGAAAACACGTCGACGATTTGCCGGCCGGTACAAACCCAACACCGGCATCCTGAACCATAAGCGTACACGTGTAGGGTCGCGACTGCCAAACACTTAGCCCCGCACTCATTTCTGAGGTCCCGTATTCACTTACATATGATCCTCTGGCTACTGAGTGTTTCTTGTTGGTGGCGGAATAGCAGCGGGCGATTTAGTCGACCTCCGACCCGCGAGTATGAGTCATCAAACATAGCATTTTAGTGATGACGCGATATGATGGACGTGATATGACGAAGCACGCGAACGCCCATCGAAACGGATATATTGAGACCAAAGCCCCTGATCTACTTCTACAGGCTACTTGTTTCGAAGAGTGTATCTTGGCAGGCTTAATTCATGGGTCGACATCGAGCCTGGTATGATTCAGCTGGTAGAGAAGGTGATCAGGTGCGGTATGTATCACTATGTGGGGTCTATCGTTTTGTGGCGACAGCACCAGCTGACGAAGGATGGCCCGGTGGTAGTCACAAATCGTACAGTACAGATGCGTCCAATCACTACTTGCAACAGTTCGTGTGGATGGATCATATCAATGTTCGAATTAGCGACGTCAAGACTGTGCAGTCTCGATCGGCGATGACGGCTAGCACGGATCCAAACTTTTCCCCGAGAAACCGAAAGCAGGAATATTCTGCGAGCCATACACGTACGTAATGTCGATTGCCAATTACAAGCGTTGCCTCGGCTGCATAAGCATACTGTTAACATGGTGCAATGATGCACCAATCACGAAAAAATAAAAGTCGTATTGCTTGATGAAGCAATAAAAGTGCACGGAATAATCGAAAAAGGAGCCTCATGCACAACACGATAAAGAAAGCTGGACGCATTACTGCTCTGACAGAACCGACATACCGAGAGGCCGCAAGCTAGTAACAACTTCCCGGCTGGATATATTGAGCCTTACATACAACATATTGAAGAAGACCCTGATTTCGTCTTGATAAGTGATCGGACCGGCACCATCGCCGTCTACTTTGCGCTCGATCATACACATGCTCATGAGTACAAAGACCAGTACGATTATGTCGCTACATTGCATGCAAATGGTCGTAGCCAATTGGAAAAGATTGTCTATTTCGGGCGGTTTGGTGGTGATGGATCTTGTGTACCTGTTGATCACTTTGTTTACACCAGTAAGTTGTTGACAAGCAAGCACCTTTGCCACGGGATCCTCATACTCTATTGGTCGAGCATCATAATATGTGTCATCGCATCGAGACGAACTGTGGCAAGAATGTAGCAGGGTAAAGCGTCAGTAGGCTGTGCTGCATGCTCGATGTGGACCAAGAGGAAGTACCTCGACTTGTGTGTATCAAAATTTCCACTGTAAACATCGATATTGCACATATCTTCACACCTCTCCCGGACGGCATTATATCGGCCGATGCCAATATCGTTGCCACCTTAGCAGCTACTTTAGTGATGACATCGCACGCAATCAGCATTGCGCACTACATCAACATGCGTTCCATCTCGCGTGTTCGCAAGCATCCGCATGACCACTTGATGCCGCATAGAAACGTTTTTGCCAAACCTTTCGTATTTCGTCTGCTCCTGCTGTCTTTGTGTGCTCGTCGTCGCATGCTGCCATTAGTCATTCTTACACTCTAATGTACAGCACTGCAAAGCGACACTTTGACACTCGCTGCCTCTTATCATATGAACCTGACGACTCAAGTCGCTCGATACGGTCGGTCCAGTGGGCCGCACGAGAAGGGACGAACGCCAGCGACACATGCAAGCCTCAACGCGGCGGGTCATCCCCACCACGCACCGCCAAACGCGACAGCAATTCGTGAACACATTGCCACCGCATATACATATCAAAGTAAGTTTTACAAGCTACGCAGCCTTGTAGACAAAAGATAGACGACATTATTGGGCTTCGCTTGATGAGGCAACGCACCTCTTCCTCTGTATGAATGACTGACTGTCGACTGATACGGGATGACAGGTCTCTGATCAACTGAGTAATAGAGGGCATGAAGAATACATATGTCGATTGTCATGACAGGCCTAGGCGTATGTCTATTGTTATGACCGACCCGGGCAGGTGTATTGTCGCATATTTCATGTACGTCGTTGGTGTATTATTAACTTTTTCCAATGTTGCAATACAATATCTCATATTCCAGGATACTTTGCAGTGCATTATGTATTATCTCATCCGATTATGAAGTTTTACACTCGTAATTATTCGGTACATGTATCAATCCTCCTTTCGTTTCCTCTATCGGCAAGTGCCCAGCGATAGATAAATCGAGGACTCACTTGTTGCAAACCAGCTTTCTGGTAGAAACTCAATGTGCCAAGTAATCGAAAGCTTCTCCAACCGATTGGCGCGCACGCAACAAGTCTGCTATAACGTATCGACGTGTGTGCTAAGTAAGGGCGATCAACTGCCCTTCCCTCACGACGACAATACCACCACCGACTATCACGATTGTGATTCGCGCAATTGCGCGAACGCGCTACGCCCGTGCCCGCTGACATGTCAGTTCACCAATGTTGACGGCGCACAATCGTCACGCGCCAGTCCTCCACGTACTGGATCTACATGTGCTAAATGCAAACCAGCTGTACGTCGAAGGCACAACTCAGTCATTATGGAGTTCGATCAAGTGCATGCAGTTAACGGCCACCTGGCAAGATCCACTCTCATCTCGTTACCACGGAAAAAGGGCAGCTACACTGCCCAGCTCGGAATCTATCACGGGCTACTTGTTCGATCATCACTTTCACTATCGAGGCTTACGAACACCAAGGACAATGCGAAAATAGCGCAGCTATAACGTCAACACGAGAAGAAACAACAATTTGACGATACAACAAAGGACCCTATCGTTCAATTGCCGTCTCCCGTGTGCGTGTTTACTTGGACTTCTTGTCTCCAAGGCGCTCCGTGCAGAGGAGCACGTGCCATCCAAACTGAGTCTGCACCTTCGTCAGCGTTCCCACTTTTTCTTCAAACACGACCTTATCAAACTGAGGCACCATCTCTCCACGTCCAAACATGCCCAAGTCTCCTCGTTTCTTGCCAGATGGACACGTGCTGTGTTTCGCCGCAAGGTCCGACAACTTTTCCTTCTTGTCATCTGCTGCGTCGATTTCGGCAAACAGTTTGTCCGCCTCTGCTTCCGACTTTACGAGGATGTGGTACGCACGAGCCCGTGGACTCGACATTCCACTTCGAGCGCCCCAAGCGACAATAGCAATCAGAATGACTGGACCGAGAAACGGCAGGACTTTCAGAAGCGTTTCTTTCAGCCCACTGAACCGGTCTGGCTCTTCCGTGCCGTTCAGTCGTCGCGAAATGAGCACGAGGTGCCACCCGAATTGGGTCTTGACCTTGTGCACGACCCCAACTTCGCCCTCGAACGCAACGTGGTCGAACTCGGGCACCATTTGGCCGCGACGAAACGTGCCCAAATCGCCTCCTTTGTGGCTCGATGGACATTGACTGTGCTCTTTCGCGAGCTGGGCGAACGTTAGAAAGAGGTTTGGCGCCTCGTTGAGCTGAGCGTGCAAATCGTCGGCAAAGGCCTCGGATTCCACGAGAATGTGACTCGCGTGGGCTTCGGTTGCGGTGGGAGCGGCCGGTTCGTCTGCGGTAGAGACCACAAAGCAAAGCAGAAGCGTCGATAGAAACGTGAACATGCCCTGACGCGTCATGTTCGGGTTTTTCGTCGCTTCGATCGCCTTTTGCTGGAACGGTCAACGAACGAGTGTGATCCGCGTGGCACGCTACGAGTGCACGAATTGGCAACGAGAGGAGGAAGTGGGGAAGAGGAGGAGGAGGGGGAGGACACATACAAGAACGAGGTGTATTCGCGCGCAGATCTGAGTTTTGTCCGGTCGGTATGATTGGATCCGTCTCGCTCGTGTCTCGGACACAGCCGTTGCATGCTGTTTGGCAGTATCACTATGGAAAGCAGTTCAGCTGCTGACAGTTTGTTCTACTGTAGGCAGCATAAAGGCACAGGTAGGAGGAGTCGATGTTGCAATGCATCACACAGACTGGAAAACGACATGGGATCCCATTGCGCTGTAGCCAATGACCAACACATTCTTTTACGACCGCGTGTGACTGCACGTTGGCTGATGATCGATAGCAGCTGACCAGTGCTTTGACACCGAACGTATTTGCACGCCAAGCACTTGCGTCCGAGATCATACGATACATCCCACATTGAGGCACATTGTCGACACCATACTTGCTTGCACCCTACGACGCGATCAAGTTGCCAAAAACGTTGCGGATAATGGCGCAACTGCTCGTCTAAGTCACTGACGCCTTCTTACGAGGAAGAGTAAGCGAGATGCCGAAAGGTCTATCCGATTAATATTGGCGCAAAGCGTGCGAACGTGTAGCCCTGACAACCCGTCGTAGCAACAAGAACTGTCACATACTGCTGTGGAACATGCAACAGCACGTATATGATCGACCGATGTGAGCACCCATCAAAGGCATTTCGAGGTCGGCAAAGGTCGGCACGTTGTTATCTAGCCATGGAGAAACCACGAACGGTCTGATGCTTGACTCCCGTCCGACTTGCAACCAATCTCGTGGTTACGTTAGGCTGCCACGTCCATTCCAATGCGATAGCATGAGCTCAAACCCAAAAAGTGTTTGAACTGTGCTGAAAGAGTGACTGATCGGTCACCTCGTAGCAGCTGCCTGGATACAGATCAACAAGTCTACAGCTACAACGATTGGAAAGCGAGTGCATGTATGAATGAACTTGAATCTATTCTTCGATACTGCCAGCATCAATCGATGAACGCCGCATACGTCGTAGCAGTGGCAAAGAGGCCAAGCAGTGTGCGCATCCTCAGCCCTCCCGTCACGCCTTGACAAAGACACGCTGTGCCCGTCTACAGCAGACGTTTGCGCAGTTGCTCTAGAAACACAAACGTCAGTAGCGTCTGTGGCCCAAGGCGCATGTACGCGGGCAGCCATCCCTTGTACAGCCCCCTCACGCCTTCGTGCTTGATCACTTGCACGAAGCAATCCGTGGCACTTTTGTACTCCTGCGCGTGCATGTTCATGAGTCTCGTCTTGACGACATCAGCCGGGGCACACGCCGTCGTCGCCACGAATCCAGCCACCATGCTCGCCACAACGTGGGTCTTGAGGTCATCTTGCATCATCACGCGCTCGTTCGCTAGAAGCGCTGATTTGGCCAAGTCATAGGCGGCGATTTGGCCTGTAGTCAGTAACATGGCTCGGATCATGTTTGGCCGCACACCGCGCATCAGTGCTGCAAGTCCCTCTTCTTTTTCGACCCGCGTCAACCCGTCCAGTGCGTGTTTGTAATCCCGTCGCTGCTGAGGGGGCAACCGGCTGTCGGCCTGCATGCGGATGTTGACAATGTCTGCAGGATTGCCCATGATCCCCCCAGGACTCCACCGGTCATGCCCAGCAGCACATTGTGACCGGTGGAGATTGGATTGCCGTCGTTCCGACGCACTGCGTCATCTTTTAGGTAGTGGTATACTGCAAATCGGGTGGTCGAGTACGTGCCCTCCCGCATCACACCACCTGAAATCCCCTGGTAGAGCCCACCGAGTCCCTGTTGTCGAAGCACTCGGCGAGTGGCGGTCAGTAGGCCTCCCCCTCCTTTGTCTTGGACGTTTGCAAGTGGATCTTCAGTAGGTCGAATGGGTGCGTGAAGAACACGGCGCCTACGGCAGACACGCCACCGAATGTATAGCTGGCGAGAGGGGGTCGAGTACGTACAGAGGCTGAAGCCATAACAAATGGAGCAGCGATAACGATACAGTCGAGTTGTTGGGGTGGTGGGAGGTGTGTAGTTAGTGTGAAAGTCGGGTGGGTGAGTAGGCCGCGTGGCAATTGGCAAATGAATACGCTGCCCGCAGAGTGCTCGATGTCAGATTCGGCTGCGATCTGACGCCATTTTGCCAGCACAGCACCAGGAAGAAGCAACTCTTGAGCTCGTGGGTGCCCGTCGAGCTGCTGATGAGCAACAAAGTGATATTTGGTCCAGTTGCTAAGAGGTCAGCAGACATTTGAAGCTGGAAGCATAGCGGCTGTAGATGCCGTACATGTGCCATACAAAGCTTTGCACAAACGTAGCCCTTCAGCCATTCACGATCTTCGCTTGCAGTACAGTATTTACAACACGATGAACGACGAATCGGATTCACGCCATCGTGGAGTCTTACAAGTGTTCTTTCTACCTGACGCTCAGTAGCGGTATCCCAAGCACCAAGCGATACCGTAGACCAACAAACCGCTTCGTCCAGACTCATGGCATGATTGACGCATGTATCGTCGATCAACACAATCGGTACAGGTGTGAATCTGCTGCTGACACTGATACCATCTGCGTGCCCGAATGCCGCCTTGTCGTTGGCGCTCGTCTCCTAGCGTCACTTACCAGTCATTTGGCCTTGATGAGTCTGCTTGGTAAAGCTAGGAACAGGTTGATCGTTCCGCACGTTCGATCAGACCATCTTCAGGACAGTCATGAGATGCAATGCTCACGAAGATCGTCGATGCTGCAATACGAACATCCAAACCAAAGACTTGCTCACTTGACTACCGAAAGTAGCTGCAGCGCACCGACAATAGACTTCTTTGTTCGACCAAACGGACACCTGCTTCGCGCTGTGTTCACTCTCGCAGATCGCTACTCAAGACGTTTGGGTACGTAGCCGTCATCGAGAGTGGAAGGCCACTCCGGGATTCGTCACAAACACGGACGGCTATTGTTGCCTTTTAAACGTTTTTAGTGCAAAAACCAAAACGACGGCCGGCCACGTCTTCCGTACTTATCGGGTCTTTTCGGTCGTCGTTGGAAAAGTACGGAACATACGTGGTACACGCAACGTCTTGCAAACCTCTGTCAATCAATCGCGCATATTAGAGGGCGGACTACTAATTGGCGTAAACAGACCGGTACGTGATGGCGAAGGTGCCATCGGCAGAAGAGATGCTGGCGCTCGTGGATGCCACGACAGGACCCAATGGGACCATGGATCCGACCATGCAAAGTTTATGGATACAGCTGCAAGAACAACATGCGCTGAATCAAGCTCAAGGCCACGGGTCCCATCGTCGTGGGGCTTGCCCAAATACCGGTATATAGGACCTTTTGCTGGACCGGCGGGTAGTCAAGTAACGAGGTACTAACTTAAGGGATGTATCCACATGCGTTATCAGAAACAGCAGCGACGGCGACAGCTGTGATTCGATCGTCTGGACTTGACAAGACAACGGGTACTTCTGGAGTGGCGGCACTTGCACGTGTCCCCGTTTTGCCTCCAGAACTAACGTCAACGTCGACTGCCTTGAAACGCAAAAGCATTCCATTGAGTATGAAGAAAGAGGCGATCGAGTGGATCATGGGTCCTGGCAACGGGATCCCGTCCCGGGCCGAAAAGCACTTTGGCTGGGACGTCAGTGCGTCGTCGTTTCGCAAGTGGTGGAAGAATCGGGACAACATCTTGAAAGATTTGGGCCGCAAGAAGCGCATTCGAGGGGGCGGACGAAAGCCGTACTTGGAAGATTCCGAGGAGAAGCTGCTGGTCGTGGTGATCCAAGAACGAGCAAAGAAAGACCGAGTGACTAGAAAGTGGATCGCCAAGACAGCGCAGCACATGTTCCAGCGCTCGAGTACTAATTTCAAAGCTTCGGAAAACTGGGTGACAAAGTTCATTCGACGGAACAATCTGACGCTGAAGAGGAGCTGCGTCACGTACGAACCGCCACAGCAAGCGTGCTTTGAACCGCAGCAAAGCGGGACGCTGCAAAACTCTTCTTCTACGGCAACTTCGGATGCAGGCACCACGTAAGTTGTTTTTCGACACGATCTGATGTATTTGTTATCTACTGATGGCAACACGCGGTCGTCTTGTTTGGCTGCTGTGCAGGTTGGTCGTGTAGCAGTCAGCTCTGGAGACGTAATTTTGAACGGCTGTAGAGGACTCTTGTGTGTCATTTCTTTCGCTTCGTCAACATGTGGTCACAGGACCGGCACATCTTTGTAGTTGCTGTATGCTTTCTGCTTTTGCTCTGTGATTGTTTATTCTGGGGCTGAGAGGCACATGATGGTCGAAGAAGCGACGCAGCTCGAGCCATAGCTACGCCATCTTTGGTGCCGACTTTGTCGCAGACAAATGTTAGAAACAACGCCGGTCTGCGCCTGACAAGCACAACCAAGCGTGACACCTGCGACCTTGCTGTTCAGGTGCAGCAGCCATTCAATCAGCAGATCTACTTATTTCGTGATGCCCACGTCGGCTTTGCGTTTAACGATAACGTGTACATAAGGCATTGCTGCGTAAGCATGTAGCAAAGAGTCGTTTTGGATGGTCACTGGTACTGCAATCGACAAGCGACGGTATGCAAGTACCACATCTTGAATATCGTTGCACTAGCGGTGCATCCTGGTGCACGTTTAATTGCAGCCAAGTACTACGTGCTCTATACTATACCTTGAACTCGGCTCTTCCGGTGCCTACACCACCGTCGCAATCAAACTTGCCATGCGCTGCACAAGATGTTACAGAGCTGTTGGGACGTCAGTACGTATGGACCCAACAGTCAATTTGCTCAATCAACGAACTATCTAATGCCAAAGTTGCCTGCGTGAATAACCCACTGACATGAGTAGTCTGCTGCTACCTACAAAAGCTTCACAACTGTATCCAGGATCGACGCATCCAGTCCCTCAACCAAACAGACATACAGATAGCCAAATCAACAAACCAACAACCAAACAACTAACAAACGTTCACTAGACAATGCATTCATTCACGCGCAACAAAGACCGGCACTACAAACGCATGGAGAAGTGGGTCGCCGTTTAGTTGCGACGACGACGAGTTCGAACACTACACTTGGACTTGCCACCAGGTGGAGTCGGCACATCCGTCAGCTCGGCTTTCGTAGCCTCTAACGCGTCCGGAACGACTTCCACTGGTGCCTCTGGTGTACTGGGAACCACTGGTGCTTCTGGTGTACTGGGAACCACTGGTGCTTCCGGTGTACTCGGAACCTCCAGTACGGTCTCAGGGCCAGTCAAAGGTGTTGAAGCCGGCAGCGCAGCATTCGTTGACGTCTCACCGGACGGATTTTCTGGCACCTTCGTGAGCCCAGTGGTAAAGTCGACACCGCTTTTTTTCGTAGCGTCGGAAGCGCCCGAAGCATCGGAGGCCTCCGGGACGTCTTCCGTTGGTGCCGGCGTTGCATCCGGAACCTCTGGCCCAGTCTCAGGGGTCGTCGCCGGTCCGGTCGAAGGGACTGGAGTCGACGGCAAAGTGCCCTTCGGATCTTCCGCCTGAGAGCTCTCGTCCTGCTGCGTCTTACTGTCCAATTGGAAGTTCTGACTCGTATCGGACTCGGACCCGACAACGTCCGTCTTCGACGGTGTCGGAGACAATGGCGCAGAAGCGGTTGGGCGATCGGACTTTACGATCGGAGTCTTCGAACCCATCGACGACGACGTACCCCCACTGCCAAACTGCTGGTTGGTACTGGTACACTCACCGGCCGTGAGGGAGTACGTGCCCGAGATGACGTCGCCATTGATGGACGTGATGGCCACTTTGGCAGCCGAGAGGTCCGTGTTCGGTGTCGTCGAGACGTAGTAGTACGCGCCGTCGAGCATCGTCATCGTTCCGCCATTCACTGTGACGCTCTTCACCCCCACGAGGCCGTTCGTCGGCTGGATGGCCACCCAATTGGGATTGCTGCCCTCTTTCAGACACACTTGGACGCTCTCTGGCTTCGGACAGTCGACGAACCGCCAGCGCACCTTGAGGCGGTGGGGGTCCAAGCCCGTGATCTCCTTGTACACAGTCGGCGACAGGTCCAGTGCCCCGTGTTTGCACTCTGGACATCGATCGAGCACCTGCACGACCGCCGTCTTGTTCTTCACTGTACATCGGTCGTCAATGCACGAGACTTCAATGCAGCGGCCGCAGTTGCCCAGCGAGTTCCATTGTTCCTGGTTCAGGGCCACGTAGTTGGTCGAAGCGGTGGGAAGCGCCGACATGAAGTTGCAGTTGCCGCTGCTCACTTGACCGAGCGTGTAGCTCGTGCCGTCGCCTTCAAAGTACTCGTCCCCCGCAGCGACGAGAGCTGCTGCGGCACTGAAGACAGTGGCAACGAAGCCGATACGTGCGACCATACTCGACTGGTTGTTAACTGCTGGTGGTCGAAGGGGGTCAAGGAGTTTGAGGAAGCGAATTGAGGAATGAACAAAGTGGAGCTCGAGTTTGTTGAATCGGAAAAGAGTGCGCGAGACAGAGGAGACGCGTGGGGAAGACGAACCCGAGCGAGTGCTCAGCTCGTAGGTGTCCGACGCTCTTCTCCTTCGTCCGCCCAGTATCAAGCAACGCAGTGTGGATCAGATGGCGCGCGACCTGACGACAGGCAGCACGTGCTGTAGGAGCTGCCCATAACATGTGGATTAACTGCCTCGATTTCCCAAACCTATTGCGTGCCGCCTCTGGTTAGGTCGGTACCAACCTACAAAATGACTTTTTTGTGGACGCTTCGCCAAGCTATACCCACATGCTACACTCGTCTACCCGCGAGACGCAGTAGAGCGTCACTGATTCTGTAGGTTGGTTGGTTTGTTGGTTGATTGGTTGGGGGATCTCAAATCGGACGATAGACGCGCGATTTTCATGGCTTGCGTTTCCTCGGGTCGTTTCCGTGTCTTTTTGCTCTGTTTTTGTATTGCGTAAAACCACGTGGAGTGTCGAGCTTCCTGCAGGGCCAACCAGCTGGAAATAGGGTCGTGGCTTTCGAGCTGCCGTCATGACCAGCAGGTGGACCTATTGTGGGATAGCGCGTTGCGAACCAGAAAAAGAGTGACGCCATATCAACTGATCTGACGCACCTGTATCGATGTGTGGCTGCGACGTCGATCCGATCGTAAGACGCATAGGTTCACTCCCGCAGCGATCGGACGAACGTCCAGTTCTTTCTCGTCGACTGTCTGACAGCGTCAGTGGATACTGACTGACTGGACCACCATTACCACCACAACATGAACAACAACAACAACATGACCACGGAACCTTTGCGAGATGTTCTACAGCAGCAACTTGTTTTCTTCGACCATGAAATAAACCATGCAATGCACTCCCTCCTCGACCGCTCTCGAGTCGTTCAACGGGTCCTACGCCTCTTTAGAACTGCTGCTTCGTATCGACGCATGCGTTCTCCTTCATTGAGTACGTGCCCGAGACCACGTCGCCGTCGACGGAAGTGACGGTCACCTTGATCTTGTTGAACGGCACCTCGTCCTTACTTTCAATGTAGTAGTAGAAAGCGCCGTCGAGCATCTTGCCAGGTCGGTCGTTGATAGACAGACTCTTGACAGCAATGCGCGTGTTTGTGGGCTGAATGGCCACCCACCACTTGTTGCTGCCCTCTTTGAGGCACACTTTGATCGTGCCTGGCTTGGGGCAGTCCACGAACTTCCAGCCAATTTCAATGCGGCCTGGATTGCTCCCCACGATCTTGATCAAAGCACTGGGGGACATGTCGAGGTCCCCGTACTTGCACTCGGGGCACTGATCGACGACCTGGAGCGTGACGGCTGTGTTCCTGTTCTTGCACTTGCTGCTAATGCACGTGGCCTCAATGCACTGCCCGCAGTGCGTCAAGCCATCCCACTGTGCGCGGTTCAGGGCCACGTAGTTGGTCGACGCCTGGCTCCATGCCGACATGAAGGCGCAGTTGCCATTGCCCACTGCACTCAGGTCGTACGGCGTCCCATCGCCCTTGAAGTACGTTTGGCCCGAGGCAGCGACGGTCCCGGCCATGGCGGCCACAAGCGCTACGCAGTATTGAGCATTGCCCATGACTGTTCGTGTCGAGCGGTGGGCAGTTGATGAATGAGGACTCGAGCGATGGGCTTGATTCGTTCGCCCGGGCGCTGAGAAGAGGACCTCCTGAGGAGCAAACAGAGTGGTCATCACGTTGACGCACTGATCCCAAGAACACATGCGTGTCGCTCAATGCAGCAGCGCGCCGCCTGCCTTGGCGACGCAACGCTACAAGGAACAACACATCGCGCGCAGGGCCGAGATTCCCCTTCAGTATTCCTTTGAAACAGCCGTTTGATTGCCAGCATTATAGACGCGACGGTTGTTCGTGACGTGCCGGAAGAACACAGTCACTTGTACCACAAGGCGCGACCCCGACACGACGACATCGAGACGATCGCACGACATGTTGACGGTCGCTGCGACGCAACTCGAACATCCACCGACAACCCGACCGACCTTATGATAGTGTGTGTTGGCCATCAATCGAACGACCAATCAAACGTTTGATTCAACAACCCACGAACTTTGGACCGGGACGAAGCTAGAAATCACGAGCGAACTCGAAAGTCGAACGAAGCGACAAGGCAAAGCCGAAACTCGAAGCTGGGACGTAGCTCCAAGACACAAACGAACCTAGACGCTGTACGTCGCGGCAACGGGGTTTGCCAGTCGACAGGGTGATCGTCGTGCACCCGATCCGCCCATGTCGTTAGCGAGCCAGCGATACAGTTTCGAACTGTAGGATGCGACACGAACAGACTTTCGTACACGGTCTAGTTCAGAACGAGCCTTCAGCGCTCAATGTCTATCGCATTTGGCTCTATCAAATGGCGGTCAACTGCGACCATTCGAGTGCGCAACAAAGACATGTCTAGCATCAGTTGGACTATTCTGAGCGTCACAGGACTGGGCACTTATCATAGACGGCACCTCGACGTCGCGCGCCTTTTGCTCTGCGACTTTCTTCTTCTTGGCCACCGTCACCGTTGCAATGAGCGCCACCAGAGCCACAGCGCCTAGTGCCGATAGAATAATGATCACCGGGTCAGTCTCATTCGATGGCGTCGAAGACTGAGTCTTTACCGCCTGAGTTGCATCGCTAGTGTCCGCAGCTCGACCTTTACCCGTTCGCTGCGCGATTGTCAGTGGACTTCGAGGTCGACGAGAGGGCAGCCGACTTCGTTGCTGGGCTCCGTTCCTGTCGGTTGCAATGCGGAAGATACCGTCTCGAGTCCCGGACATTGGCCTTTTCACCGCTGACGGTGTTCCAGCTACGCTGGCTGCGATAGTGAATTGCTGAGTAGGTTTGATCGCGTTGCCGTTAGTACTTGCAGTACTTGGCTCCGGTTCGGTTCGTAATGCTGATGCAATGGGGTGCACCGCAGTCCCAAGCGGAGTGGTTAGCAAAGATGCAACAGAAGGTGGAGCCGGTGGAGAAGCGATCGCGTACGAAGGGGTTGCTGGAGGAGCGTAGGCTGGAACAGGTAACACCGGTGGATGAGGAGCTGTCACTTCGGACACAGGAGTCGATCCAGTAAGCTTAACCGTTTGCTGCTCTTGTGTTGCACTGTCAGGAGTAGTGGTCGTTGTTGCTGGCAATGTCGGCGTGATGGGCATCGGCGTTGGAGTCGGTGCCGTGGTCAGTGATATGACGGGAACTTGCACGTACGGAGCCGTCGTGAGCTCAATCGGCGGCAGTAGTGGACTGATGGTCGGCACGATGGCCGGCCCAGGCGATCCCTGTGGACTACCGAATGGGAACTGGGCCGCGCCTTCCGTGCACGCGTCGGCCGTGAGGGTCACAATGTCTTCGATCGAATTGCCATTGATGTCCGTCAAGGAGATGGTCATGTCCGTGAGCTGCGTCTGCGCCTCACTGGCTCCGTCGAGGACGTAGTAGTAGGCAGAGTCGAGCATGACCGTGTCGTGCCCGTTGATCTTCAGACTCGTGACACCCGTGGCGACGTTCGTCGGCTGCACTGCTGTCCAGAAGGTATTGCTGCCGCCTTTTAGACAATAGTTGACGTTGCCCGACACGGGGCAGTCGACAAACTTCCACTTGACTTTGTACCGCGACGGCGTCATCCCCGTCAGAGCGGTAAAGACCGTTGGCGACAGGTCGAGGTCGCCGTGCTTACACTCTGGACAGCGGTCGAGGATTTGCACGACGATGGACTTGGACTGGTCGAGACACCGATGATCAGCGCACGAGACCTCAGCACAGCGGCCGCAGTTCTGCAGGCCGTCCCACTGCTCGTTGTTCAACGCGGCGTAGTCCGTCCCGGCAAAGTCAAGTGCCGACATCATGTTGCAGTTGCCAGCACTTGACTGGCCCAACGTGTAGGCGGTGCCATCGCCGGTAAAGTACTCGTGGGCCTTGGCGACTACTGCAAGGGCGACGCCTGAGACGGAAGCGAGCAACGTGCGGATGGTCGTGCTCTTGCGTGTCATTCTGAGTACCAAAAACCGTCTGACAAGACACGTGCAAAGGCGGACGCGTTTCGAATAGCTCGACGAGTGGCAAAAGCAAAAGTGAGACCTCGAGTGGCAATGGCAATGGCAATGGCTGAGCATCATCGCGCTTTGGTTCACGCGAGGTCACGAGCTGTCGACAGTGCAGCGAGCGAGATCTTGGCCCGACTGCATCGTATTGGACTGGATACGACCTCATCTAGCGAGGGAGATGCATCCACAGGAATTGCACAGACACAGACACAGACACACACAACACACATGACGAGAGCGTTGTTGTCTACGGAACCAACACGAGCTGTCGGCGTCTTTTTCTGTCGCCTCCTCATGAATGAGACAGACAGTGGCCACAGGCTCTCTCGAAGCTGAAGAGATAGCAGGTACATGCACGTTGCTGGAAACGTCCGGTCGTGATTCCATCCGTGTCTATGCAGCGGGACGTGCGAGCTCACCGTCTGACTTCGTCCGTCTCGGCCGAAGCTTCTCGACGACATGACTGGCCACGAGAGCTCCGATGGAACGTGCGAGACGCGCTGTCGTGCTGCTTGTCGAACGCGCTTGGAGCACGCGGGATCGCTCTATCGGCAGTCGCTGCTGAACCCAAAGCGCACGACAGCGTGACATCGGAGACCGTGCGGGACGCGCGAGATAAAGGACTCGTTTTGCACGGACGGAGCAATTCTCGCACAGACGAGTGGCGCACGTGACAGCCGCCACGAGGCCACAGTCGCTGTGGGCGACAGAGCGACTCGTTTCTTCTTCAGCTGCGACGAGCGCGGACCGGAAAGATCGCACTCGAGCGCTTTGCTGAGGTATGGCCGTGGGCATCGACCGAACATCATCCCGTCGTGCCGACTTTCGCTACATGTGAAAACAATACTTGACTCTATTTCCATTGAATGTATCCTTTCGAAGGCTTCGCGGCCATGCAAAAGCGCTACAGTAGAACACGGAGACGACACTGGCTGGTGGCTTGCTACATAGGGCAGTTCACGGGGCCCGAGCTACCGATAGCCACAGTGGCGTCACTGACCTCGTCGTGCTGAATCACGTCGGTCTCAGGACTGCTGGCGCTGTTAGGACTCTCCTGCGCAACGGTAGTCTTTCCATCATCGGACGCTGAGTCCGTAGTTGATGGTGCGGTCGCTACGGTCGGAGCGGCAGAACTACCGTCTTCCTTTGCCACATGCATCTGGCTCAGCTGTGATCGATATGTTGGGCCCTCCTCGTAGCGCAAGCTCATGCTGTCCTTCTCTTCGGAACGCAACCCCTGCAGGGCGCTGTCTTCAGTCGTAGGGCTCGGTTGGTGCCATTCAGAGGAGAAGACTGGCAGAGAAGTTGTAGTGGAAGCATCCGGCACTTCCGTCAAGTCCTCACTGTCGATAGTTGGCACACTGGAATGTTGTAAGCTGATTTGCTCTTCGCCTCCGTTCGTCGTTGAAGGCGACGGCAGAGGGGTGTACGGGTCTTCCGCCGTCTCCGTGGACTGATTGTCCGAGCTCGGACTCTGCACGACGCTAGGACCCAAAATGTCGGTCTCCTCAGCGTACGCGTTCTCCTGCTGATGCTGCATCTGGTCGTTCTCTTTTGCAACGCTCGAGTCCTGTCGAAGATTATGACTTCCTTCTGCAGGGGTGTTGACATCTTCACCGGTTGCACCGCTGTGATAGGACACCACGTCCTGCTGATCGGTGGGAGTGGCGGCGTCGTTGTCACGTGTAGAATACTGAGAAGTTGGCACTACGTCTGAAGAATTGAAGAGCTGCGTCGTCATTGCGGGGGACGGAGCGTCTGCCGCTGTCGACTCTATCGGCGTCGGTGGAGAGGAGATAGATGCATTCGTTTGCTGCTCTTGAGTCGGTGCAGCGGTCGGGGCAAGTGCAGCCGGTATCGTCGTTGGCGGCATCTTTCGAGTCGCGGGAGTCGGTACGCGGATCGGAGCAGGCGTAGTCGACGGCGTGTCGGCTCGAGGCTTGGACGGACTTCCGCTTCCGGACGATGGGAACTGGCTGGCGCCCGCCGTGCACGAATCAGCACTCAGTGATACCGTGTCTACCATGGAGACACCATTCAGATCCGTCATGGACACGGTAACGTTGGAAAGGTCTCCGACGGTCGTACCCGAGCCGTCGAGAAGATAATAGTAGGCTCCATCCAGCATCTTCGTGGCCTTGCCATCGATCTCGAGACTTGTGATACCCGTAGCTACGTTTGTCGGCTGGATAGCCATCCAGAAACTGCTGCTGCCACCTTTGAGGCAGTAGTTCACGTTCCCAGCTACCGGGCAGTCCACAAACTTCCACTTGAGTGTATACCGCGCCGGGTGAGATCCTGTAAGCGTCTTGAAGACAGACGGTGAGAGGTCGAGGTCGCCGTGTTTGCATTCCGGACACCGATCGAGGATCTGGACCACGACAGACTTTGTCTTGTCGGCACAACGGGAGTCGGAGCAAGTCACTTCAGCACAGCGACCGCAGTTCTCCAACCCATTCCACTGGTCGTTGTTCAGGGCAGCATAGTCGGTGGTGGCGAGGTCGAGGGCCGACATCATGTTGCAGTTGCCCGAGCTAGTGTCTCCGAGAGTGTACGCAGTGCCATCTCCAGTGAAGTACGTGCCGGCAGTGGACGTGACCAACATCGCTGCGGTCGTGAGGGAAACGACGGACATGGACGACTTCATTGTTGCAGCAGTTGGGAACTGTACAGAGTCGTGGGGATGTAGCAAATAAAGGAATGCCGTGAATGACAGCACGCGTGAAAGACGAGCTTGCTTCGAGCAAAGCTGGTTTCTTGGTCGGTGACTACGAACGCCATGGTCAGTGCTTTGGTGCCTTCTGGGTGTCGAGAACGGTCGCGTGGCATCGCGATAATCGACGCCACATTATCCACGTAGCATCCGTTTATTGCAACCGTTACTGCTGCTTAGAGTGAATGGAGTCGACGAACACGTGACTTCGTGGACTAGCAACATACCACTAAACGACGGCATGTTATGGTGCTGGCGAACACTTGCAATCAGTGCGTCACGAACTTACCACGTGGTTGTTGTCAAGCGTGGCAGTTTGTAAAAGGGTGTTATACCGATGGATCGTGAGCTGTAGGGTAGAAGTGAGAAGGCGCCTACCGGATGGTCGTGCTTACTCAAGCTCTCGACTCTCATTGCCAGGTGCTCACAACGTGAGCATCTCACAATTGTAACGCAGCCGTTGTTTACCATATTGTCAATGCAACAACCGCGGTTTTACCTCGCGCCGTGGAAGCAGCAGCTGAGCACCAGCAGCCTATTGTTCATCAAACAGCAGTGAAGGAAGAACGAACGTGGCAATGCGCTCGGGATACGAGCATATGCTGTCAACGCTTGGTCGGAGACAGCACCTCCACCAAGTAACAGGGTCGCGATGAACCTGCGAACAAAAATGGCACCGCGTGCTTTGACGTAGGTACGACTGGAATACTCACGCGCCAAGTTGGCCACAAAACGTGTGCTGATCAGTCGTACGTGACGTTGCTTTGTCGGAACGCGTACCAGAAAGTGCTTGCGATTGTGATCGAACGACACGATGAGTGGCAAGCGAACGAAGTGGCAGCCACAGCTGTTGTTGAGTCAGCTATTACTGGTGAATCCGTTCAACGCGTCCATCTGAAGTAGGACTTGTACCAGTGAATACACCCTAGAGGAGTTAAATGCTTGACGATCAGTGGAATACACAGCGGTCATACGCTAGTAAAGCAAAGTGATCATTCGTAGTCCAATACGCTCATGCTGTTGACGGACGGTAGATGGTGGGTTCAAAACAGTACGATTCGATCGAGCAACGTCCGAATGCAGCCGAAGCCTATTCGGATGGCTTCGACCGAGTTGGCGTACCATATCCACAATGGGCCTTCCCGGATGCCCTACAACACCGGTCGATGCTTGATCAGTAGTGGTGCAGCATTGGAGAAAATGTGCATTTGGAGCTGAAAACACGTTCAATAACTACGCTTCGTTCTGATGGCGTTTGTTGCACCGAAGTACTCGTTCCATTCAGTGCATAGCGTGTTTGGCAGATCTAATGACGCTACACCACCGGCAGCAAATCATGATTGCCTGCTTACATGCTTCCATTAGGTGGGCAATATTTGGTCGAGGTTCGATGTCAGACAAGGACGCCCTCGGTAATTTGCGGCAAGGTCTTGTCTTCGAGATCCGTGCACTGCATGAGTGAGTGAGAAAGTGGGGTATATTTAGGTACGCTTACGACCTACTATATCCCGTCACCCGGCAACAAAGTTATCGGGGTGACTGCTACTTTATATACTAGGTAGCACTAGGACTCGAACATCAGAACGCCTGCGCGCAGACTCCTGTCGCAAGATGATCAGTGTATGACATTTTGTTCAACCCGAGAGGTCTCCAACCAATGATTGACATCAGAATCAAGGAAGGTCGTGGCCTCCTAGACTAGAACGGGGTTAGAAGAAGCGTGCGCTTGAACCGAAGCTCCTGTGTGTAACGGGGCAGCCCGTTACATGGAATTGTCACTTTAAGAAAAGTGACAATAAAGAATATGAAGTTGAATATTCTTTTAACAATATCACCGAAGCGGTAATATTGAAGGGTCGACCAAAGGGTCTGCTCATTGGTTGATATCTTGACGATATCAACCCACCAATCGCCGCAGGATGCGCGCAATGAGTGGTGACGAGACGTCACCATACACTCAGTTATATTAGCATAATTCAGTTAAGTCAAGCAGAGAGACAGTAGTTAAAAGACTTAATTAAATTAATGTAACAGTTCTGCTTTTACCCTACCTACGCTTCCTCGCTTGCCTTGTGTACGTCTGTCGGGACACCGATACCCTTGCGTTAAGTTCACGCAAGGGTGTGCCCCGTTACACCTGGTAGCACTTTGTAGTCTTTCCAAGGACCACAGCATCCAACATGAACATGTTGGATGATGAAGAGACCTTTCACGCCACGCGTGAAGGGTTTAC